ACGTGCAGAGGGTTCTCGGCTGGATTGCCCGGCGGATTGAGAGGCAAGGGCGACCACAGCGCCACTGGATTGACCGGCGGCTGGCGAGCGAGTGACGACGCTCGGCATCTCGGCGGATGTGGCGGTCAGCAGGTTCTTGATTCTGCTGCGCTTGGCCATTTCTTGTTCCTCGGTCAGGCGAACGAGGGGAACGTCAGGAAGGGAAGGATCTGGAGGCGGCGAAGGAGGGCGGAGGAAGTCAGTTACTCTACTCCGGCGCGGAGCAGAATACCTGTAGGTCGGTGTGTAGCCGAGTAAATCGTTGCAATCTCGGTGAGGATACCGAAGCACGGTCCGAATTGCTTCGACGTTGGGAAATTGATAGTTGGCTTGCAAGGCTTGGATTGCTGCAAAAGAAACAGGAAAACCGGTTAGTTACAAAGTAAAGAGTTAAGCTAACCGAGCAAGTTTGAGTGGCTTACATGAAGAACCGAAGCCCTTGTTTATAAACCAGCCCGGCACCTCGGCTGTTTCGTAATTGCCCGACACCCAGAAAAAATCGTCGTCGTGCAGATCTTTATCCGGGGTGCCGGTTACAATTTTTTCCTTGCCCGGTCTTATCTTCAAGTAATATGCTAGGCCGTCGCCGGTGTGGCCCATTGTGTATTGCCTCAATATCTCGGCTAGACCTAAGTTGGTGCCTAGCCGATTGTTCAATTCGTGAACACCGTTGATAATTCTATAGGTATTGGTGGACACTTGTGTGGGTGCCAGCCCGGTGCGGCGAAGGAACTCGGTGATAAGAGGGTTGAGCGGGAAACGGAGGCCCCCTTCGACAATTGAGAGCACGGTAAAGGGGCATTGGTCAAGTCTGCCCCAGGGTGTGGTCTCCTCTTCAGCCAGTTCGAGATGAACATCGGCCGGGATGCCGTAATCCTCTCTGAAAGCAGCTAGCGCGGCCGGAGTATCCACTAGGAAGCGGAATTTCCCCATTTGTGGCCGGCTTAGTGTATCCCGGCTGAGGGGTTTGGCACTGGTTATTGGATGCTGCTCGGTCCTGAGAGCCTCAGGAATGACAGTGGTCCCCTTGGACTCTGCAGGGAAAGGATGGCAAGTGTTAAGTGTGAGCGCGGTCGCGCAAAAGGAGCTGGACTTTAGCTCGGTCATGAAGAGTGCCAAACTACCTCAGTTGTTTATTCTATCTAAGGAGCCCGGTCGTCCAAGCAGACCAGATGTTAGCCCGGTTGAGCGACCAAGTCCTTTTGTTATCTCAGTTTTTTTTGGGGTTGAGACAAACTTGTTATTTGCTCGGTTGGACTGGTTTTTTGGATCAAAAGAGGACCAGGAGCCCGGTTCACCCCAGTTCTTCAGTGTTCTTCATGAAGATGAAGAACACCAAGAACAGTGGGAGGTTTGGTACGGATGCTATGGCCTATGCCCTAAGAGCTACGTTTTTGTGCCCTAATGTGTGTATTATGAAAGAAAATAGCAACTCAAGAGGGATTGAAGATCTTACCTGTGAAGGGCTGGAGCTGTTTTTCCAAGCACGGAGAATGGCAGTCGAGTATGAGAGGAGATGGCTTGAGCTCTGGATCGTCAGGTAGAAAAGAGGCAGTAGGAAGAAATGACATAAGGGGGGTCTTGTATATGTAAGCACGAAAGGCCGCCCAAATTCAAATTCTGGCAAAAACGGCGGGTTGGCTGCTCGATGACCAATGACAGCCCGCCACGTGTCCCCATTTATGGAACGTCAGAACTGAAGCGACGGGTTGAAGAGTCGAAGAGCCAACCGAGCTACTTCTGAAGAAGAGGACGTCAGCCGAGGCGTACAACCGGTCAAGTTTGCAGACAGTTATGTTTACTAGCCCGGTCGCCCTTTCTCGTCTTGGAGACCGGAGGAATGTTATCTCGGTCGAAGTGAGTAATCCCAGTCACGCTTTCGCGGACGGAATTAAGGGGCAATTGAGAGGGTGATTTGTGATCTGGAGTTGGGCCGTGGTAATGGCCGAGCAGGTTGAGAGCCCAACGTTGCATGGGACCGAGATGATTGACTATTCGCCAAGAGATAGGCTGCCAGAACTTGGGCCGGGCAGAACTTGGGCCGAGTGTGTGCCGCCCCAGACCGTAAAGAAGCTGCTCGGTTGGACCGAGCTGCTCGATCAGGCAATGGCCGAGGCAAGACAAGCTGGGTGACCGGCGCCCGGAAAGGCGTGGTCAGCCGAGGTAACTGTTTGACCGGAAGAAAGGCCGACCACAGGAGGTGCCTCGGGCTAGGCTTTTCCGAGATGCCGCCTAGCCCGGTCCTCCTTGGTCTTAGCCGGCGAAGTGCTTGGGTATGAAGCACGGCACGGCACAGCACCGGATAGAGCAGCTCGGCTGCCGAGCTCCTGCTGAGTATGCAGGCAGTTGAGATTAGGTGATGATCAGCAAGGTTTATGCTAACAGATGGGATAGCGGAGCCACGTGTCAGGAGAAGACTGGGAGTGGATATGGGTCGCAGAGGGTATATAAGTATGTCTGCGCCCCCCCATACGCGATGGATGAACATTTTGTAAGGAATTTCTCACACTAAAACACCTCCCTCTCTCTCTCTCTCTATCCTAAGGTGTGTGCTAACTTGATCGTCGGAGGGTTTTTCCGGCCACACACCGCCCGGTAGCTCACCATTCTTTGCGCGCAGGTGATCGGACATAAACGGAGCTCGGAAGAAAGGAGTACGGACTTGCTGGAATATTTGCTCCCCGTACATTATTGATACAACAATGCAATAAATTTAAAAATTAAAAATGTATCTCACGATGACCATCCTTCTAAGTATGATTCATATTTTACTAATCTTAAATTTACACCATACTTCTATTTTAGAGATGGATTTTGAAATATAATTTCATGGTAGATACGTAGGACTAGGAAATTAGTTATTTTAGTTGGTTATTTGATTTTTTTTTTACTATTTTAACTTGACTAAAATTGTTATGTTTGAAAAGTTGATTTTTTTTTTTAAAAAAAAATTACTCATAAATCTCATTTGGAGAAAAGTTATTCCATTTGGTCTTAGAAGTTTTCTTTCAAACTAATTAGTCCTTTTTATTTTAGGTATGTTGTATTTCCTTGATTTAGGGTTTGAAAGTTTACTTGTTTGCCCTCGTGTGTGATTTTGTTTGGATTTTTTTCTTAATGTTAGGTGTGCGTAGATAAGGTAAGTTTTTACGTTTCTATTTTTTGTGGGGATTTAGTGAAGTGATTCATAGGTGGATGATGTTATCTCATTTGTGGTGTTCGTCCCTATTGTAACATTGACATTATAATATTGACATTAACTAACATCTAAATGTAATACTAATGTAACACAAAAAAAACTCCTTATTATATTTTTCCTAAATGTAACACTCCAATATAACACTCTAAAAAAACTCCTTAGTATAACATTGTAATGTAAGACACAAAAAAATTTCTTATTGTAACACTCTAATGTAACACAAAAAAATTTCTTAATGTATTTTTCCTAAACGAAACAGTTTAATATAACACACAAAAAAATTTCTTAATGTAACATTCTAATGTAACACACACAAAAACTCCTTAGTGTAACACTCTAATACAACATACAAAAAAAATTTCTTGATGTATTTTTTTCAAATGTAACACTCTAATATAATTTTTAAAAAAAACTTCTTAATGTAACACTCTAATGTAACACACAAAAACTCCTTAGTGTAACATTTTAATGTAACACACAAAAAAACTCCTTAATGTACTTTTTCAAGATGTAACATTTTAATATAACATTCTAAAAAAAACTCCTTAGTGTAACACTTTAATGTAACACACAAAAAAACTCGTTGATGTACTTTTCCCAAACGTAACGCTCTAATGTAACACAAAAAAAAATTCCTAGTGTACTTTTCCTAAACGTAACACTCCAATGTAACACTAAAAAAAATAAAATAATGCGAGATTCTTCAAACCATTCCAAAAGAAGTACAAATATTCCTTAGTAAGTTTTGAACATATGTATAATTTCAAATTGTGAGTGTTACATTTGAAAAAAGTACACAAATGAGTTTTTTTTAGTGTTTTTGTGTGTTACATTAGAGTATGTTACATTAGAATGTTACGTATGAGATTACATTGATTAAAGTATTACGTTTGGGAAAAGCACACTAAGAATTTTTTTTTTTTTTTTACATTGGAGAGTTACGTTTGGGAAAAATACACCAAAGATTTTTTTTTTTTTTTTGTTGAAGTATTACCTTTGGGAAAAATACACTAAGATTTTTTTTTTGAGTGTTACATTATTATGTTTGGGAAAAGTATACCAATGAATTTTTTAGTGTGTTACATTGAAATGTTACGTTATTAGAGTGCTATATTAGAGTTTTGGTTTTTGTTCGTAATGTGTGATTTGTTCTAAAATGAGAAAAAATTCAAAACTTTTATAGTGCAAATTGTCCGAATGTGTAATTTTACATTTTGAGAAAATCACTTTTATCCTTGAAAAATTAAACCTAAACATATAAGTGACTATCCTTTTATGTAATTTCTACTTTAATGGGACCTTTGGGTTTATAAAAAAAAAGGGAGGACTAAACCATTCTCAATGTCACATTTTGGAATTTATTGGTGCTTTTATCTTTTTTTTTGGTAATTGATTTGATGATTGTGAGAGAAAAAAAATAAAATAATTATAAATTAAATGTGATATTTTATCTTGTTAATTATTTTAATTTATTTTATATTTTAGTAAATTATTTTAAACCAATCATCTTCCCAATACATCCATAATTTGTTGAATAATTAGTTGGAGAAAAAAGCAACAATCAATTCAGTAATCTTAGAATATACAATATTTCAAAATACAATCAATTCAGTAATCTTAGAATATACACGTGTGATATTTCATAATATTGTGATTGGTATAGAAAATAGATAAGTGAGATATTATAAATGACTAAAAAATAAAAATAAATATATTAAATAAAAATTAATTAAAAAATACGAGTACGCGTACTCAGGTAACATTCTATAATTTCCCATTCCGCTCGTACACTTTAGCAAAGTCTTGAAACAAACAACTTTAATCTCCAAGCTTTCTTCTGGTCTCTCTCGATGTGCTTTCTCTCGAACTCAATTGGACAATATGTTTTGAGCTGTGAAACAAGATTTTCTTGATCAAATTTTATGGAGTCATCACACCTCAATAACCCTCCTCCAACTGGCACTAGTGGCGGCTCAGACCACCACCACCACCACCACCACCAACTCCAAAGTCAATCCCAACCTGGGTCCTCCTCTCATGTCCCAAGCCATCATGGTCCATCATTCATGGGCTCCATCTCCACAGAACTAGTCTCTTCTTCAACTACTTCCTCCACCGCCACTACCACGACCAATAAAATTACCAAAAGGCCCTCCAAAGACCGCCACACTAAGGTCGACGGTCGAGGGCGGCGCATCCGCATGCCGGCCTTATGCGCCGCCAGGGTGTTTCAGCTCACTCGAGAATTGGGTCATAAGTCCGACGGCGAGACCATCGAGTGGCTTCTTCAACAGGCCGAGCCGGCGATTGTCGCTGCTACCGGAACCGGCACAATTCCGGCCAATTTCTCCACTCTAAACCTCTCGATTCGTAGCAGTAGCCACAACACCACCATCTCTGCTCCGTCGAAGTCCGCACCTCTTTTCATCAACGGCGGCGGCGGCTGTGGTTCCGCCGTGTTGGGTTTTCATCACCAACTCTCGACCGGCGGTTATGGCGAAGTCTCCAATTATATGACAAAGCGGTTCAAAGACACAGAAACCACACAAGAACCGGGTTCAGATCCGAAGCCCGGTTCAATTCAGCAGTCAACCTTCCTTCCGGCTGCCGCCATGTGGGCGGTTGCGCCGGCCCCCGCAAACGGCGGCAACGGGTTTTGGATGCTGCCGGTGACAGCCGCCGCCGCCGCCACAGCGGTGGTGGGAGGCGGGCAGGTGGAGCAGCAGATGTGGCCGTACAAGGGAACGCCCGTTCAGAGAATTGGTGGGTTTGAGTTTCCGGGTGGTGGACTGTTCAGTCCGGTTCAGCTAGTGCAACAACAACAGCCACAGCCGGTTGTGGCTTCTGTATCTAGGGTTGGGTGCATCCGAAAGTAGTAGTGGTAATATGGGAAATTTGGGATCAATTAATGAATATAAGAGTAGGGTTGAGTTGGGTATGAATTTGGAGCAACATCACCATCGAAATCATCCTCAATCTCAGTCGCAATCTCAGTCCAGTGATAGTGGTGATGAAAACCCTAAAGATTCCTAATGATTTTTGTTAGTTTTATTTTTCATATTAATATGTGAATGAATGCAAAACATTTGTGTGTGTTGGTGTTGTCTTTCTCAACTGTTAATGTAATTTGTAATGAATAGCTGTAAATTGTTATTGGGTAAAGACAGTTATTGATTACTTCAAATAATTTGCTTTTGGAGCTTTCTCAATTCTCAACTTTCATTTGCCCTGCCCCTATAAGAATTAGGATAAATGAATTAACTCGTTCGAACTTGTTTATATTCGACTTGTTAAAAATTTGATTAAATTCAATTCGTTAGCTAAATAAATTAAATTTGAACATATTTTGAAACTCGTTAAAATGTTCAAATCAAGTATGAACAATTAATTGTTCGCTTGGCTTGGTTTGTTAGGTCTAAAATTATATAAAAATTTAAAATTATTTGAGTTCGGTTGAGCAAAAGTTCATTTGAGATCTGCTCGAAAGTTTAACGAACAAAGTTTGAACAAATTTTGAAACTAGTTAAAACTATCAAATCAAATTTAAAAAGTTAACTGTTCGGCTCCTTTATCACTCCTAATTAGAATGATCATTTCACAAATATTTTATAAGTGTATTTAGATTATAGATTTTTTGAGAAGACTTTTGCAAAACTAAAGAGAAAGTGATGATTTTTTTTTTTTAATTTCAACAAAATTTAATTTAATTTTTTTTTAAAAAAAGAAATAACATGTACTACTGGTATCGCATAGAAATTAGATTTGATCATTACCTTTTTTTCCCACCCAATGATAAGCAATACAAAATTAAATCCTTTTGATACTCCTAATCATAGATGGTAGCCCAAGATAATTTTCTTTTGTATTTGCAACTACAGAATGCATTATTGGATTTCTAGTATGATTCAAGATGGACTGTGTCTTTCAGTATAAGAGGATGAAAATCAAAAATACAAGAGGAAGCAATTTATGTATGGGATTGGGGAAGGGATGGGAAGGGAAGGGAAGGGGGCGACAATGGAGGATGGGAAATGGAAGAGGCTGGTGGAGGATGGAGAGGGGGTGATGACGGAGGATGGGGTAAGGTAAAGGGTGACAGGGAAGTTGGGAAACAAAGTGAGGAGAGATTTGGTGTGGTGTGGTGTGGTGAGGTGCATAATAAGATTAAGAGGAATGATCCTGATTTGTTAAAGGAAATAGAAGAGCCCAATAGTCAATTTTTCCTTGAAAACGATAATGTGATAATTTCCTATCAAAAATTTTTACCCATCATTATTAAATGTTTTTATTTGAAACAAAGTGAAAAATTGAAGGCCTTGTTTGGTTTGATTTTGGGAGAAATTTTTTGAAAATATACTTTACAAACACTTTTTTAAAAGTAATCAAATCAAACAGATTTTTTTTAAAAAACTCTCACAAATGTGTTTGGTTATCCAATTGCAGGATTACTTTTGAAATATGTTTACAAAAAAAGGCAAATCAAACAAGTTTTTGTACTTTTATCTCAAAAATTACTTTACAAAAAGACAAACCAAACAAGTTTTTGTACTTTTTATCTCAAAAACTACTCTACAAAAAAACCAAAGTTATTTTAAAGAGAATATTTAAAAAAAAACAAACTAAATTTTTTTTTATACTTTTTTATTTAAAAAATTACTCTATAAATATAAACCAAACTCATTCTCACAAATAATTTGAGATTAAATGTCTCACAAATGAAAAGTTGACAACTAAATTGACCGGAGCTCCTACATCAGTGGACATTAATGTTTTTTTAATTATAATCCTCTCAAAATATCTTCTACAAATGAATTAGCAAAGGGTGAATGAACAAACAGCGCGCTTTATTTGAGAATCTCTAATGATTGTTGTTATATTATGATCGGCTGTGATTCAGACCCCCAGCTGGGGCACCCCCAGTGACCCAGCGCTACATGGCACTCTGCCAGTGGCTGAAACCAAAGAAAAAAAAAAAAAAATTATTTTTTTGGCCAATCAGGAGTGACCCCCAGTACCCCCACTGGGGTCTTAAGCTTTATTCTATTACGATTGTTATTGTTATAATTTGATAATAAATAATATTATTTTGTTAAATTATAATAATAGTATTTTAATAGTCATTTGTTATTTTAGTAAATCTCAATTAACTTTTTCTCTCAGTTTGTAGGTGTTATTTGGATACAAGTTTTTTTTGTGATTTTATTTTTGTTTATTTTTTGTCTTGAAAAATGGAATAAGGGACTAATATTTTGGGACGGAGAGAGTAATAAATAATATTATTTTGTTAAATTATAATAATAGTATTTTAATAGTCATTTGTTATTTTAGTAAATCTCAATTAATTTTTTCTCTCAGTTTGTAGGTGTTATTTGGATACAAGTTTTTTTTGTGATTTTATTTTTGTTTATTTTTTGTCTTTTGTAACTTTTTTTTAACTATTTGTAAAAAAAATTATATATTTATATTATTCCCAACTAAATAAATATAAAAAATAAAAAAAAATTGAAAATTTGGGAAAAAAAAAATATTTAATGTCTTTTTATTATAATAAAATTATCTTTATTTAATGTCATGTATTTTATTTTTTTATTACCTTCATTTCAAAAAATATATTTATTTTTTTATTATACTTTATTGAAAAATTTAAATTATACAAAAAAAAAATAGTTAAAATTATACATTGTAAAAATAATATCACATTCATTTATAAAAAATATTCAAAAATAAAAATAAAAATAAATAAAATTTCATTACCAAATATTAAAATGACATTGAATTGAAATAGAGCCGTTGTTGGCTCATATTACACATTCAAGAGAGCACCTTTACCGTTAGATTATATAGATCTAATGGCTGAGATCAAACCTTATCTATCTATCTCTCACTACAAGACACTGCCCTCCCTCATTTCCTTTTCCTCATTCTGATTTTACACCCAGCCACTCTATCACTCTATCTCTTCTATATCTCTTACAAGAACAATGCTACGTATCATTGAAAAATTTTTTTTATAAAAATGATCATGAAAGATTTATGACCCTTAGATTACACTTAAAATAAACACCACATACTAATTAAGATAATCCAAAAATCATAAATTTTTCATGATCAATTTCATGAAAGTCTTTTCATGATCCCTATCTTTTCTCCTCTTACAAACCCTATCTCTCTTCTTCACTTTGGGGATGAGAAAGAGGGAGCAATTGAAGGAAAGAAGGAGAGGGAGCGAGTGAGATCAGTGAATGGGCGTAAGTAAGGATAGATCGACAATCGACGATTCATCAGGAGATAGACGATCAAAGAGACTCCTCTGTCTCTCACTCTCTTCCTACTCTCTCCACCTTCGGTTCTTTGTTCAGGTACCTTTGACACAAGCTTTGGCATTTCTCAAATTTGGCAGCTGCCATATTCAACAATTGGAGCATCATTTTTCAACACAGCTGCTATATTATAGCAATGGCAGCTCCAATGGCAAACCATTGGAGATGCTCTTAGATCTCTACATTTAAAAAGTCTAGCTGAAGTTGAATTGGTCTAAAGGTTGACATTTCTTTCCCGTGGACTTTGAAATGTTGCCTGTACAGTTTTCCCTGCTAGGTTGTGGTTTTGGTGTTGCTTTTTCATGACAAGTTAATTTGTTTACTGTTTCTCTATCTTCCTACGGAGCCATGGAGTGTGTAAGCCCAATCTTAAGCATAGCCACTGGCTTATGGGATTGCACCGCCAAGACGGCAAAAAGTATACACGATTTGGAAGAAGATCTCAAGTCACTGGAAAATGAAATGGAAAAATTAAAAGACTTGACTGAAGACGTGAAAAGAAAGGTTGAACTCGAAGAGCAACGACAAATGACACGAAGGAAGCAAGTTGATGGTTGGCTGCGAAGGGTTGAAGTTGCAGAATTGCAAGTGAAAGAAATTTTGAATAAAGGGGGTCAAGAAATGGAGAAGAAATGCCTTGGATGTTGTCCCAAGAATTGTCAATCAAGCTACAAATTGGGAAAGGAAGTGAAAGAAAATCTCAAGGTTGTGATTGAACTTCAAAGTGAGGGGCATTTTGATGCTGTGGCTGATAGATTGCCTCGTGGTCCGGTAGATGAGAGGCCCATGGAGAAGACGGTAGTGGGCTTGGATTTGAGGTTTCAGGAGGTATGGGGATGGCTCAACGATGAACAAGTGAGAAGTATTGGAATTTTTGGAATGGGGGGTGTTGGAAAGACTACCCTCTTGAGCAAAATTAATAATGAGTTCGTTTACACGAACCATGATTTTGATGTTGTGATTTGGGTTGTGGTGTCCAAGCAAGCAACTGTCGAAAAGGTTCAAAAGGTTATTTGCGATAAACTACATATATCGGATGATCTGTGGAAAAATAAAATTGAGGATGAGAGAGCTGTAGAGATCTTTCAAATTTTGAGAAAGAAAAAGTTTCTACTGTTGTTAGATGATGTATGGGGACGACTAGATCTCTTGAAAGTTGGTGTTCCTCCTCTGGGGAACAACAATAAGTACAAAGTAGTGTTCACAACCCGATCTGAGGATGTATGTGACTACATGGAAGCTGACAAGAAGGTTAAAGTGGAGTGTTTGGCAAGGGAGGAAGCCTTGGATTTATTCTGGAAGAAGGTGGGAGAGAACACTCTAAATTCTCATCCAGATATACCAAAGCTTGCAGAAAGAGTTGTTGAAGAATGCAAAGGTTTACCACTTGCTCTCATCACTATAGGACGAGCCATGACAAGAAAGAATGATCCCCGTGATTGGGAGAGGGCAATCGAAAAGATGAAGAAAATTCCATCAAGTTTTTCAGGTATGGATGATGATGTATTTCGTGGTTTGAAATTTAGTTATGACAGTTTACACGATGATATTATCAAATCTTGTTTTGTGTATTGTTGTATATACCCGGAGGACTATGACATTTTGAACGACGATCTTGTTGAACATTGGATTGGGGAGGGATTTTTGGATGAATTTGATGATATATATGAATCGCGTAAACATGGGCATGAGATTATTGGAAGCCTCAAGCTTGCATGTCTATTAGAGTTAGGAAAATCTAAAGATCACATTAAGATGCACGATGTGATCCGTGACATGGCATTATGGATCGATTATAAATCTAATGGAAATAATAGATTTTTGGTACTTGAGGAACATACAGGGCTTTTTGAAGTAAATGAAGTAACAAAGTGGAAGGAGGCAGAAAGGATATTAGTATTAAGTAGTAGTAGTGTCGAAGAAATCAGTACTAAGAAAAGGTTTTGCCCCAATCTTCGAACTTTATTTGTGAGACACACTACACTAAATGCATTTCCACGTGGATTCTTCCAATTTATGCCTGTGATAAGTACTCTTGACTTATCATCAAATTTTCACTTAATTGAGGTGCCTGAGGGCATTGATAAATTGGTTACATTGCAGTATCTCAATCTATCAAACACACGGATAAAGGAGTTGCCAGTTGAGCTCAAGAATTTGACAAAAATCAAGTATTTGTTATTGAATTCAACATATAAGTTGGTGGTAATTCCACGACAAGTGATATCAAGTCTTTCATTGTTACGGGTGTTTGGTATATCCGGTGGCAATTCTTCATCAAATGCTATTGTTGAAGCTAATGTTTTAAGTGGTGGTAGAAAAGCCTTGTTAGAGGAAGTGGAGTCTTTGGAGCACTTGTCCGACATTTCAATTACCATATTTGATGCATTTTCTGTCAAAAAAATACAAAACTCCCAAAAGTTACAGAGGTGCTTGAGCTATCTATGCCTTGAGAGATGCGAGGGATTGAGCTCACTTGAATTGTCATCTTCATCATTGAAAAGAATGAATCATCTAGAGAGACTTGATATATACTACTGTGAATTGAGAAATTTAGAAATTATTCCCAGCTCAAATTTAATGGGTGGTGGATACTTCCATAACCTTAGTAAGGTACACATTGCTTATTGTGACATGTTGTTGGACCTGACATGGCTCATTTATGCTCCAAGCCTTCAACTTCTTGATGTGGCTCACTGTAGATCGATGAAAGAAATTGTGCGCGAGCAAAATGGAAGAGTTGCAGGATTTGAAGATATTTTAGACATATTCTCACGACTCACCACAATATGTCTGATTAATCTACCAAGCCTAATGAGCATCTTTCCACGTGCCTTGCCTTTCCCTTCCCTGATAGAGCTCCGAGTGGGAATGTGCTTCCGACTAAGGAAGCTCCCATTTGATTCCGACACTGCCAAGAATAGTCTAAAGGAAATTAGAGGAGATGGATTTTGGTGGAATTTGTTGCAGTGGGATAATGAAACCATTGAGGCTGCTTTCCGTTCATATTTTGTGCCAGAAGAGTCAATGTTGTGAAGATTGGTTGCAACCAAATTCATATGTATGTAATTTTATTTATTTATTTATTTATGAAATCTTTTAATCCTTGATTATTGATAGGTACTTGGAAACTGAACTAACTAACTTGCAGTGCTTTTTTTTTGGCTGTTTGGACAGGCATTTGAAGGCTGATATGGGTTATTGGATACTTTGTGATCATACTCAAGAGAGCATATATTGTTATCATTATTGAATTTAAAAATAATAAAATAAAAGAGAGAGAGAATGCTTGGGTATATGTTTGTAATTTGAATAAACTACGGGTCGCGGAATGCTTAATTCCCCCAAGATTATTGATGGTAAGGTGTGGTTTGAGGTTTGTTTTTTTAAGTTTTTAATTTTTTTTTATGAGATGAAAAATATTTAATCTGTTTAAAAATTTTTTTTTCTTTTTTTTTTTTGGTATGCAAAAATGTGAATGGCTGAAGTATATAAATTGTATTTTTAGTGACTTTAAGTTTTTGACTTTCTTCATGAAATAAATATTAATGTTATTTTTGTGTGGCATTTTTAGTCAAAAAAACTAACTTCTCAAAAGCAAAACTCTCACATCTAGACTAAGGTCTAATTCATAACTAAAATCCGACTTTATTAAACATGTTTTTTATATGCTAAGTGACTCTTAAATTCTGAATATTTTATTTTGTAACGTAAGGGTATTAAGGAATTATACTATTGGTTGCGAAGATGAACTGATCGTAAATGTGATTAGTAATATTTATTTAGTGGTGATTTTTTGATTCATTTATTATTATTATTATTATTTGTGTTGCAATAATGCTCTCTGTGTAGAGGTTTTCTCCTTTCGTGAAGATTTTCTTCTGCATGTGCGGAGAAATTTTATCAATACCGTACTGTATCGGCCGGTACGTACCATACTAGAGTAAAAATGGGATCCACATAAGTCAATTCTAATCCACCTAATTTCTCGGTGGATTCTACCAATACCAAACAATATTGGCCGAAAAATATAAATCCATAGAATTGAACCGTACAAAATTTCTGAATTTCTGATTGTATATATATTGTACCAAATATGTTTATTAGTGGTTTGTAATATTAAAATGACAGAAACTTGTGTTTCATATTCTCTTTTAAGTACCTAAATTTGTATTATGTAGCAGATATGTTATGCTTTTAAGCCTCTTCTGCATGTAAATTTGCGCTTTCATGATATTGTATACTTAAATTATTTGCTACTAGATATATTTCTAATACATATAATATTTTTACGATAAATCCAAAACGACACTCGAAAACAAACCGGTACTAGTAAATACCGTACCAATTGAAAAATGATTATTTATCCGGTTCGAGATTAACAACTTTAGTGTGGAAGTTTGTTCTCCCTATGTACTCGTATTTTTGGTGTGTGAAGGTTCCCTTTATTTATTTTGAGATCTACCTTACACTTCGATATACTTTATAGAACAATTTATTGTCGAATATCCATAAGAAATTTTTTTTAAAAAAAATCCCTTCCCAAAGGGTGCACATTTCCAGAATCTGGTTGTTAGTGATCAAAATGTTCACTCTCGCATTGGGATCCACAAAAAGAAGATAAAAAAATCCATTACAAAAATAGATAATCATTTTAAGATATGATCATTCATACGAAAGCTTAAAAATACAATTTCATTTTATTCTACCCTCATTCTAAGAAACAAAACCCTATGTTTGAATATAGGACTTCCTAAGGGAAAGAAAATAAGAAAATAAAGGGAAAAAAAAGAAGAAAGAAAGAATAATTAATTTTCTTAAGCTCCAGTAATTTGGGGTCAAGTTTCACCTGGAGGATGTTCAATTATTACATTTGTCTCCCCTGTAATAATAATAACTTTAACAGTGTTAATGGAGGTGTTCAATTATTTAGGAATGACAACGGGACGGGACGGGACCGGGGATCACACTCCCCGTCCCCGATCTCCGATGCCCGAATTTTCTCCGGCCCCGGCCCCGGTCCCCGACGGGGACTCATAGCCCGGTCCCATCCCCGCCCCCAATCGGGGATCCCCGACCCCGAAAAATCCCCGATTTTTTTTTTATTATTTTTTTATCTATAAAAATCTATAAATAGATTAAAATATATTTGAGACAATGAAGACAATTAATATGGATTAAAATATATTTGTAAACCTGTAGCATTGCCATACAAAATAACCTGTAGCAATTTTAAAATATATTTGTCCAGCAGCATATATACAATCTGTACACCTGTAGCATTGCAATATATACAATCTGTCCAGCAGCATCTGTACATGTTTAAAAAATCCTATCACACACAACTTTCATCCTATCACAAAGAACTTAAAAAATTCAACATAATCTGCCAATATATATAATCTGTCCAGCAACCCACACACATAAGAAAATTCAACAAGTAGCAAAGAAAATAATTAATCCCAAACACAACCCGCAAGGGATAGGTTACCCAAAAATTGAAATTACAAAATATATATATATATCCATTACAACATAAAAAATCAAATCCATTGTTGGCACAGTATCCACAGAGAGAGAAAAAAAAAAGATTTTAAACTTCTTTGCACAATTGACAATTCACAAGCTATGATTAGAAGAAAGAGGAATGAAGTCTGCTAAAACATGTCACACCCCTGCAGCAGCTTATGGTTGTCACCAACAATTAGAAGCCGTTGATTTACACCTAAGAAGAATACACACGACAATTTGCAATACAAATTCGTTTTGCTGCTACAATGACATGAACCCGGTCACAATGTTCAACTCTTACAGCCTGTAGAGTGAGTAAAAAATGCGATTTTTGACTTCTTTTAGTTTCCTTTTGTTGGTTTTGTGTCTTGCTTGTTTTCTTTGTTTTCAGCCCAATAAAATCATAATAAAGGTAAATTACACGGACATCCTTAACAAAGATCAATACAAATGGTGAAATGATTCAATACAATCACAATCTTACCCACTCTAGATATGGAGGTTTGTAAGTGCAATGAACAGGCTAGGATGTGGGATTGTTGGATGATGATGATTTTATAGTTAGTAAAAAGAGGTTGTGTTAGTGAGTTTGGAAGTTGGCTATTGAAGTGGCATTGGTGTGACATTGCTAGGGTTTAATAGCAGTGCCACTGTTAGGGCTTTGATGGCAGTGACAGAGGAGGATGCCGTGGAGGTAGATGGCTTTAGAGAGAGAACAGGAGAGGCGAAAGTAAAAGGATGTGGTTATAATTATAGATATTGGGAGTGGGGTGTTTGGGTTCAAATTGTTTGGCTACGAAGACAATAAAATAGTTGAAAGTAGAAGGGTAAATCGGTAAAAGCTTATGTTCCATCAATGACCATAATCCAACAACTCCAACAAGGAAGGCTAGTATAATTTCAATAACTATAGTAAGGGTCAGCAATTGTCATAAACCAAAGGAGAAGTCTGTAATTTACCCAATTAATAAATAACAAAGAAAGAAAAAGTTAAGGTCAAATGAATGCTTCAATGCCACAGATTAAAGGAATGCTTCCATGCAGCAGAAACATTAATTGTGGACAAATTGGAAACAACAAAAATCACAGCACTGTATTTTTAAAATGTCAAATGCGTAGTTGAGATATGAGTCGCATCAGGCTGCTGACAACAGGTCACATATCAGAAACCAACCACTAAACTCAATTAAAACCCAGAAATATTATTACAAATGCAGCATTAAACAACTATTCCAGAGTTGGAGCAGAGAAAGCAAGCAACAAAAGTGAGGGAGCTTTAAAATCAAACCAATCAAATCCATACCTATAGTCAAACACAAGGCATTTCAAAGCGGCATCTATTATAGCAGCAGAGAGATGAGATAGAGAGCTACGCAGAAGCAGTTTTCTTTTGCTGGAAGATGACAGCATAAACAGGTACTGCAACACCAATGCTGAAAGCAGTGAAGACAGCTAGGCTCATCTTCAGCTGCTGATGCTTCATTCTATCCAAGTTGTACATGTGTTTTGCATGAAGGTAGTATGGTTCATCATGGCCATGGCCATGCCCTCCCCCCATCCTCTTCACGCCTGTTGAATGGAACCCCCTATTCACTGTCATGAAAAAAACACATACTGGTCTCTTAATTATGAATGCGCAACATACAAAATAATCATGATTTGATTGGAAACAAAACCATTCTGGCTAATGCTAACCAGAAAGGGTAAAGGCAAAACCTACCATTGTTTGCTTCCAACCTATCAGAATAGGTATTGAAGCAACTTCAGTGAAAACCATAATATGTTATTATAACCAGACTATTTTTGGGAGGCATTCTCTGCCTTCACTTCTAACAAATTTTGTCAATTGCCATTGAAACATGACAGATTAGATGTGGATAGTAGGTAATCCCAGAGAAAGACTAAATTCAATTTACTTAGAGGGCTGCTAAATGCCCCTACCTTTTTCCTTTAGACCCCACTTCTTCTATATTTTTTTTTATTACAATTTTATCTTAATATCAATTTCCATTTTTCCTCATTGGATGGGACTTAAGGCTTGGTTTGGTTTGGTTTGTTTATCAATTTCCATTTTTGACCCCATCTCTATACTTCCAACCCCACCCCATCTCCACCTCCACTCGGACCAATAGCCTCCCTGCCATCACCAGATCCGACCACCGTCCACCTCGCCATCACCAGATCCGACCACCTTCCACCCCGCCATCACCGTCCCTCCCATCTTCATCCTCACCAGCAACCTCCTTCTTCTTTCTTCTCCTCTTCTCATCTTCATTCTCCCCATCACTGCCCACCACCACAGTCAAAGTTGACAATATTGTCTTTTAACTTATTGATATTTTGATTACTGACCCACACAAACTTGCAAGCTATGAAACCACATTATTGCTCCATGGAATATCACATGCAAGGAGGATTAACTACTATAATTTGAAAGGTATTTTTGAATGCATTGGTTATAGTGAAAGGTCAATAGCGAATTGAAGGAAGCACCACCTCTCTCCATAGGGCAAATCCTTCACCTACTAATTTAAGCAAATTGCAAAATCATTTTAGTGATAAACATCTTAATAATGTTTGATGATAAAAAAAATGAGTGTATTTGAAATAGAGTTCATAGAGAGAGGATCTAAAGGCCATTTGTAAATGAAGTCTGAGTTCCATCATAGAAAGAGATTCATAGTATGACCAAAATGTAAACTCCGAAAGAAAGTGCATCTTTGGTAGGACTGAAGGAAAGCTTCCAGCAGGATCATGCAAGTTTTCAAGAACAAAAATGGGAGCTTGGTAGTTGGTACACCACAATGTATGCACATACTGTGTGTGATTAGATGGTTTGGAACATAATTGTCAAATCGAGATTTGAATCGTGAATCGAAATGGCATCATACTGAATTATGAATCGAATCGAATCGTGAATCGTAAATATTCGGTCACTTTTTCTAAATTATTTAGAAAAATATATTTACACAATTGGATGTTAAATATATCTTATCAATATAAAATATTTAGACTTAAATCAATGAAAATATTATTTTGAATGATGATCACGTTGTTTAATGGGTAATAAGTTAACAATGTTCCTATTAAGATCACTATATTACATTTTCCCTTATTTAGATATTTCTTATCAACTATTTTTTAACAATGTTCCTATTAAGATCACTATATTACATTTTCCCTTATTTAGATATTTCTTATCAACTATTTTTAATAAAAGGTATAACTGACCTCACTCATATAATATTCAACTATATTTAATTTAATCAAATAGCAATAGATAATTCATGAGCTAAGTTACTTTAATCTTAAATATCTATAGAAGATATATATTATGATTTAAAAAAAAAAAAAATGAGAAGAAATGTTAAAAACATAGTCTCACTGAATTTGATTGGATCTTATTAAAAATTCATCGATCACTAAAATAACAATAAATCATATATATATTTTGATTATTTTGGCATTAATCGCTATCAAAAACTGTATTATGTCATTTTTACTAAAAAGATGGAGAAAAAAAGAGTTGAAAATATGTCGGGTACGATAGTTTCAAGAGTTGCATGAATCGTGAAAGGTGAATCGAATCATGAATCGATTGTGAATCGTGCGGTTCACTAAAGATTCATTTTCAAAATAGATTCACCCATAAATTCGTATCGATTTTGCAAAAAGTAAGATTCTGATAACAGAGGTTTGGAATGTGACGAAATAGTTATAATTTCAGGAGTATGAATAATGACGGCCATAATCATTAAAAGACATTTGTTCATTACTCTTGGAAACTTCTATTAAAAAGTAAGCATGTAAAAAAGCATTCAACTATTTGCAATAAGTGTGCCATTTATGGAGCATTTTGATGTACCATGACCTTTCTTTTTGTTCCCCTTTAAAACTCTTTGTATTTTGTAAAAACTATATACCTAATTTTTAACGCGTTGTCTTATAGTGAGAAAACTGAAGTAGTGTGCCAAACAAAAACTAAAGTTCTCCTTGTTAAAACTGAAAAGTGCTGAAATTTTAGTACTCAATGGCCTTGTTTGATTAACAGGATTAATAGTGAAAGGATTAATAATCCTATGAATTAGTGTAGGATTAGTTATCCAATTAAATTAGTGAGATAACCATTTATTATGTATTCATTTTATTTTTTGTTTGGTACTTGAAATTATGATCATCAACCCCTCTCAATATTAAAAATCCACCAATTTTGTTGGATTGAATATCCGCCGTACATGTAATCTAATTAATAAAATTTGCAATCAAATATAGCATTGTGAGTCCATGGACCAACAATCCGAAACCTATATTATGATCTATATGCCCAATTAGTATCTATCACATCCTAAGAAGCACGTATACTTTTAAGACAGTGGCATGTCCATGTCGGACACTTTCCTATACTTGTCGGACACCCAAGAGTGTCCTATTATTTTTAAATTTTTTTAGACCCGGAAACTGTTCAGACAATTGGGGATACACTTTTGTCTATCGCCTAGGCACACAAGAAAAACAATAAATTTGAAAATAAATACATAAAGCTCTTTTCTTTTGGAGAAATGCTAGAGATCCACATTTTTAGATTCATAAATTCACCCACAATGATGTAGGAAGGGTGTTAGGCCTTATCTTATTTAGTGTGTAAAAAATTAGAAGTTGACACTTATAATACATTATCATTGGGGGTCAAATTGTAGGAGTTTTTTGTGGGTCTCTAACATTTTCCTTTCTTTTGTGTGTTTCCGTGTATGTGCTTCTCAAACTACAAATTTAGACCTTGCCAGTAGATTTTATTTTCAATTTTAAGAGATAGCTGATTGTGCAATATGAAATGCATTTAAGAGAAGATCTATTGAAACTTAGCCTAATACAGTCCACAAGTGGATTTGGGGAGCATTTAGTATAAGAATGGATTCTAGAGTTAAGTTTCACAATTAAAATACATGATTTGCAGCAACACAGATCAAATAGTTAATTGTAATCTACGAGTAATCCAAACAAAAGACAACCCCTTTCCATGCCAAGAAAAGTGAAAGTAAATAAGAGAAAGTTTTCTGAATCTTAGGTTTTCTACTTCATTAGCTTCCTAACCGAAAAAAACAAAAAACAAAAAACAAAATATCGAAAATCTAATATTCATTCAGATAGATTTTGTACATTTTCTGAGCAGCCAAACAGAGCAGTGGAAAAACCCTAGAGCAATACAATCGGAACTAATCTGCCGAAGAGGACTAACCTGATTTGGAAAGAAATAACTCGGTTGAAATGCGCAGCTTCGAGGCGCACGATCTCAGACCGTTGTTCAACGCCATGATTGGCTGTTTTACGCGCGCACAGAAAGAGAGAGAGAGACAGAGAGAGATCTATATTAGAGCATCTCCAATGCACTAGGCATATAATACTTGTTAATTAAAATGTTTAGTGTGATTCACTTTTTTCAATTCCAATGCACTAGGCATATGATTAGGCATTTTGGCTCAATTCATATTCACTAGCCACATGTAGCTAGCCTTCAACGCTAGGCAAAATGTATTCAATCATTAGGATCATTTTTCTCCATCTTTGCTGTTGACGTGGCATTCTATAAAATTAATAGTATTTGGATAAATATGTAAAATAAAGAGCATGATTGGAGTAAAAACATGAAACAGTTGATAGGCAAAATAAAATATATACTTTATAGTAATATTTAGATAGGTAAAATACCTACTACCGTTAGAGATGCTCTTAGATGACCAAAGCAAAACTCAGCTCGTCGAGTAGATAGAGAGAAACTCATTGGGGGTAAATTAGACTAACCTCCCCTGAGGTTGAATGGAAGCGTGCTGTTATTAACACTTCATTTATTATTTTTGGCCCTCTAATTTTTAAATTTGTTATTATTATTATTAGTGTTGGACATGTACTTTGTGGCAATATTTTAAAAATCAGATCGGTAAGTAAATTGAAAAAGAGATTGGGTGGACAAGTTACTGGTTCAACCATCGAGCTACCATCGAGCTGAACCAGAATCGAACTGTGATGTTATAATTATGTTATAAATATTTTTATGATTTAATATATATATTCATTAAACATATATATTTATATTAATATTATTTGTAAAAATATTAATTATACACGTGTTTGAGGGAAATTAGTTTGGATACAATTAATATTAAATATTTCTTACATATTAATAAGGAACCATAGTGGCAGAGTAGAAATTCATGTTCTTTAGTTCTTGAAGTGTTGGGTTCAAGTCCCCTTTTAGTATTAGTTTTTTTAATATTGGATCAAATATAGCAAACCGGTAATTTTTATTTAAATCATTATATTTTATTTTAATTTATTGTTTAGTTGTGATTTTTAAATCACAAATTTATTTAAAAATTAAATTATCTTTTACTGATGTACGTATAATGTTTTAAACTTGTGATGGAATCTAATTCCTCATCAGGATTTTAGCAAATTATTGCAATTGCTAATTTAGTTTTTATCAAATTTCTCTTATAATTGTTAGTTTGGCAGATAAACTATAGAATGAAATTTCATTTGTTATTTTTGAAAAAATAAAATAAAATAAAATAAAAATTAAAAACCCATTTTTCTCTCTATTTATTTCGTTTAAGGGTAAACTATCAATAGGTCATAATAGTTAGACTTAATTCTCATCAAATTCTAATTAAATCGTCCCTAAAAACTAATTTTTGTAACAATTTTTTGCATATGTCGTTAATAATTAAAAATTAATGACTTTTTGTCACGATTCATACAAATTGCCACTAAAACTTATAATTAGTGACTTTTTTTATGACGAATTTTTCAAACTTTTCATGAAAATTAAAAATTAGTAACTTTTTTTGTGACAATTTTTTTAAACCGTCGCTACAAAAATTTTAAATTGTCGCTGAAAATTAACAATCAGTGACATTTTTTAATAGTATTCGATGAAAAATGCCATTAATTCTCATAGAACTTATTAGACAATAAGTCTATTTATTAGGACCAATATGTAAGTCTCTCTTATTTTAATGGTATACCATATTATATTTATCATCTTATTTGTCAAGAAAATGTTATCGGTCTCACCACTCATGTATATATACAATACATTGTTGACAACTAAGTTGGCACATCATGTAATGTAAGTAAGGAGTTTTTCTAGATTTACAAACTAAACTATCAATTATTTTACCAATCGTTCATCATTCACGTGTGTGGGATTTTTAGACACTTATGAATCTTACACACATATGACTAATTAGTAAAATAATTTATATTTTAATTTGTATCGCTATCTTTTTCGGTGAATAAATGATAACGCTCTCTCTTTTGAAAATTTTAGATGTGTGCCACGTTTATTTGGGGAGCATGATTTACAATTTTTTTTATTGAACGCCATGTAATAAATATTTATTTCTTGCAAAAAGAACTACTTCTTCAGTTAAAAGTATTATAAGATACGAGTAAAGAAGTACAAAGATATGAATGTCGTGTTATGATTTTTTTTTTTTTGAACGGAATGTTGTGAATATGGTTATAACCCATAAATATTGGCATCCTTGATTATGATTCATAGTTTTTTTAAGTTGTGAAGAATGAGAACAAGTTTTTGTTAATAATCTATTCAATGGTTAATATCAAATGGTATGGATCCAAAGGCTGAAAGGAGTAGTGCATATAATATGCCCTTTGAAGGGGTGTGTATTGTAGTTATTCCCCAGATAGAAAACTTACTAAAGAAAGGTTGTTAGACACCAGCAACGTAGAACTTATAACATCATAAATTTGAAAATAAAATATATTTATGATTCTTAAAATATACATTTTGTGTCATTTTCTTTCTTTAAATTCTAATTTTGTCAATTTCATTTCTAAAGTTTTCAATTTGAGTCAAATTAGTTTAATCCCAAGCAATCATTTAATGATAAAAACATTCCACATAATATACTAATAACTCAGATTTTTAGTTTGCCTTTAAATATGATGTATCAAATGGATAGAAATTTGTGAGTATGCTTCAACAAAGAATGAACACAAATAAATAAGGTGATCAACAAAACTCTATCTCTTCTATTTAAACTCAAGAACCCTATGCACAAACATATGAAAACAATATTCTAAGTATCTAATATCATGCATTGAGTAGAAAAAAGAAAAGAATAGGTTGTGTTGTGGCTTGCTTGCTAAATTGCTAAGTTTGGACAAAGTCTTCTCTCCTTTTCATCCTTCTCCTCCCAAAGCTTACTCTTGCTTCTCTTTCCCTCTCTCCAGCTGAAATGCGTGTGTGTGAGTTTGTGTTAGTGTGTAAAAATGATATGGGTGGCCCTATTTATAGAAAAATCACAGTGAATTGTCTAAAATGTCATTTATTGGAATGGAATGGAATAAATTTGGATTTAGTTGAAAAGTAATGGAATGAAAATTGATTAAGAGGCCTTAATAGCGTTTAAGTCATGATTTAGTTGTGATTAGTTTGATTGGAACTAGAGGTACAAACACAATTCCATGATTTAAGGCTTGAGTCAAACTTTCTTCCTCAATTCAAGTAATAGTTTCACAAAGTACACAACAAGAATCCTCCAAGGGGTGGCTGGTCATGTGCTAGGGTTTTGAGGGTCTTTATCATTTGCTTTTTGTACATTTATATTCATATAAATATAGTAGATATTTGTGGAAAGTAATATTATATGAGGTGTGCATACAAGTGTATAAATGTAATGAAACTAGGGTTAAATTATAATATCAATAAAGTGTGAGGGTATGTACTAAATTTACAAATCAAAATACCTATTTCAAGTATAGAATTAATTAAACTAGTAATAGGAAAAACAATTCGGTTTGCATTACTTCGCTTTGAAGTAAAAGGTAAACAACCGAACGAAAACAGTGAAAACCGGAAACTAAGGGTTTAGAGTAATTAATTTATAATTAGAGAGTTAAATAATTAATATTAGAATTTTAGAAATGATTACTAAGTGTAGACCGCCCGAAACTCGCTCTGCGCGTGAGGGCGCGAATTGGGTTCTAGCTACTACAGTTCGGACTCCTGTCACGGTTCTGAATCTGGAAAAGGAAGAGAGAGCCTCCCTTTTATAAAACTCCAAGTTTCAAGCTTCTTGGAGAAGCTAGAAGCTTGGTGCAATCCCTCCATACACGTGTATGGAGGATGCAATCTGTGCTCACCAGCTATCACCCACAACATCTGCAGAAGCAAAGAAAAGGGCCTCGGCCAAAAAAAAATGGCCGATCGGCCATTAAAGAAGCCGACAGGCCATCAGTGAGGCCGATCGGCCACCACTGATGGCCGATGGAAAGAGGGCACGACCGATGGGCACAGGGCCTGGCTGATGGGTTGTAGGGCTGGCCAGCAGGCCACCCCCTTCCCTCAGAAACAAAGCCACAAGCTCTTAGTCCACAACCAAGCACAAAACAGACAAGTTGAGAGGCTCCAAGGCAAAACGCACAGCCGAGACCTTCAGGAACTCAAAACAAACACGAGCATGGATGATCATCGAGTATTCAAACGATGACGTCCAAGTCTTGAGGGCGGTCAAAAATGGGATGTCTACAGTTACCCCTCTTTGACAGAACTCGAAAGTCATGAGATGACGGGAGTGAATGTCAAAGCCCAGAGACGACCATTTTTGACAAGGCCGAAGACTTAGACAAACATACAAAATAACAAAACAGAGATGCGCCCACGGGCTGGGGCAAAATGCAAATGACATGCACAATGCAGAACATAACTTTTGATTATCCAAAGATGGTTGTAATGAAATATCTAGATGCAAATGTTATGTAAAGAAATGCTACAACAAACTCGTACATAAGCAAGTAACTGAACACACTACGCGCGGGAATTACAGGCCCAACTACATTTCATGCAGAAAGGATGTAAGAAAATTATGCAATCTTAACTACGTCTCATGCAGGAAAGACTACAAGCGATTATCGGGAACACCCAAAGTCTCAAACGAAACACCTCCTAGCGTATCAAACGTGAAAGGAGAGGGACTACGCAAGAAAGATATGTCCAAATGCATGTCAAACACGAGAGGAGAAAGGCATCCAAGCGCGTGTCAAACGCGAAAGGAGAAAGGCATCCAAACGCGTGTCAAACGCGTGTCAAACACGAGAGGAGAATGGGCGTCCAAACACATGTCAAATGCGAGAGGAGAAAGGTACGTCCAAACACATGTCAAACGCGAGTGGAGAAGGGTACGTCCAAATGCATGTCAAACGCGAGAAGAGAAAGGTACGTCCTAACGTATGTCAAATGTAAGAGAAGAAAGGTGCGTCCAAACGCATGTCAAATGCGAGAGGAGAAAGGTACGTCCAAACGCATGTCAAACGCGAGAGGAGAAAGGTACGTCCTAACGCATGTTAAACGCGAGAGGCGAAAGGTACGTCCAAACGCATGTCAAATGCGAGAGGAGAAAGGTAACCAAGAGAGTTCGAGGGAACATGAATGATCTCACCTGGAGTTCCTCTGACTGAAACACATACAATATCGTCTGGTTGTGCCAGCTTCAAATGAACCGTACATACAATATCGTGCCTGCACAAAAAGAAACTTTGACAGGTACAATATAATAGTATGGGGGTCGAATAATTAAGATCGTAAAGAGGCCGAATGGCTGAATTTAGAGAGTTTGAATATAAATATAGTATTCGGCTTCGTCCCGCATATTCAAATCCTACCCTATTCGGTCAAAAGGCCGGTTGGGTAAAGGGCTGAGTGGAAAATAGTTTGCTTTGAAAGTGGCCGAATGCCGAATTGAAGATGGGCCCAATCCTGAGGCCCAAGAAAGAAAAGATATAAATAGAAGAACATCAGCCAGAAAGAGGTATGTGAGAACCATTACGCTAAAC